ATTTTAGCCACCAAGATATTGTGGCGGTGGCGATAAGAAATAGGGCGGCCCATTACGAACTAATAGATGGTCTATTATTCTATACAAAAACTACGAATTCCAACAACGAATTTCGACCTGTTATCCCAGCTAGTCTTAGATTAAATATCCTGCAGGAGCTCCATGACAGCCCTTTAGCTTCTCATGCTGGTATTCGAAAACTATCCAACGCGTACGCGAGGCAGTCTACTTTCCTGAACTGCAAAAGTTAACAAGGGCGTATGTCCAGTCCTGCCCAACATGTCAAGCAGTTAATTATATTAATTTCCGCCCGGCCGGGTTTCTAAATAGTATTAAATCCGAATTTCCAAATGAAATAATTGGCATCGATTTATTGGGCCCTTTCCCAAAAAGTCAGTTAAATAAAAGTCGCTATCTCCTTGTTATGGTTGATCATTTTAGTAAATGGACCGAAATTGTTCCCTTAAAACGAGCCTCCGCGAAATTAGTTACTGATTCTATTTTAAATAAATATATTTTAAAATACGGGGCGCCCCTAAAAGTTATATCGGATAATGGTCCTCAATTTGTAAGTAATATATTGAAGACATGTGCCAAAAACTGGGCATACGTCATTTAAAAATGGTCCCGTATCGGCCGCAATCAAATATAGCGGAACGGGTCAATAGAAATATAGTGAAAATTATCCGTAGTTATGTTAAAAATTTTCATAAAAGCTGGGATAACTATGTCAATGAATTTGCTTTCGCCCTTAGAACCGCAAAACATGATACAACGGGCAAAACTCCTGCTGAGTTATTTTTAGGCAGAAAGATTATAACGCCGTTAGATAAATTATTTTATGTGCAACAAAGAGCCCCAGAATTTAAAATGGGTGATATAGAAAAACTAATAAAGGAAGCAAAAAAGAATACGGAAGTAGCACAAAGAAAACAACGAAGCTCTATTATGATTTGAAACGACGGGGAGTAACTTATAAAGTAGGGGATGAAGTTTTAAAAATTAAGCATTCACTTTCTTCAGCACCAGAAGATAAAACTGCCAAATTTTTTCCACGATTTGAAGGACCATATGTTATAGAAAAAATAACTCACGCTTGTAGTAGTGTTAAAAGCCAGAAATGGTGAAACCTGTTCCGCAAACATTGATCAAATCAAAACCCTACTATGATCGTAATAAAATGCAAATATTTTCAGATCTTTTGCAGGATCCGGCACGGCAGACACCGCAGGCACAAGCTCCAGAGGTGGAAAAACGACAAGTACAAGGGCAAGCCAATAAGAGGCAGGAGCAAGTGAAAAGAAAATTGCCCCGCGGAAAAATTGAAGGTAGCAAGAAAAAGAAGCCGTTCCACCGTCCAGAAAAGAGAGTTCACGAACACCCCCAGAATGAAGAAGGGAGAAGGACGACGTATGTGAAGAGAACCAGGAGAAATGACGGCAACTATAACCCGGCTCTAAAACGGAAGATCTACTCATCCGACAGGACTCTCCGCAGCAAAAGTCGCCGAACTGCGGAAGGGCCATCAGCGGCGGAGGAAAAAGTACAAGGAAAATTTGAACGGCCAGCAACGAGGTCCAAGCAGGAACACGAAAGAAGGTTCTCGGGTCCGCCAAGACCAGCTGCCATCAAACGGCCAAGACCACAAGCAGAGGAGAAAAAGAAGGTATTCAAGGGTGACCGAACTGGTGAAAAAAGGAAGCTTCCAGAGGAAAGCACTGAAGGGCGAGCCCGTACAAGAAGGAGGATAAATCAAACTACTATCTGCAATACCTTTAAAGACTGGGCCCAGAAAAGGATGTCCGAATATCACAAAGATAAGTAAAATTTTATGTTACTTTGCAAACTTAAGTTAATCTTTCATTCTTACTGCAAGTGGCAGATTTCAAGAAGTTTTACCTCATGCGAGGTCTACCTTTATCGCCAAAAGGGCGAGAAATGAGTTGTTACCGATTTTGGGTATTATGTTTTTCAATTACTCGCGCGTAAAACTAAAGTTGATGTATAATAGCGTTGTGTAAAGACTTAAATATTGAAAAAAGTTATTGTATAAATTTTATTTAAAACATTCTAGCAAGAAAGAAGTTTTAGTCTGAAAGACTTTTTGAAATGTAGTATTTCAAAATGTAGAAAGAATTGGCACTTGCTTTGAAAAGAATAGAAGTTAACAATGTACTACTAATGTATGTTTTCAAATGTGTAAAATTAACGGCATGTTGATATGTTCTTATATACAATGTGAACTGTTATTTTAAATGTTAAGAAATACCGTGATATGGTAAAAGTGAAAGTAATGTTAAAAATTTGTTATTCGTGTGACTGTAAAGATTAAATCATGGTGGCGAATATGTGTTAAAGGTTGAATGATGTAGTTAGGCTCTCTGACGCTACACTTTAGAGTTAGCCACTTTCAGAATAGTACCTCAGGGTTTAGAGTTGAAATGAGGGTGTGTTAAGAGGTCTTGTTATGTTGAATTTTAACACGTTAGTGTTTTGATTGTAGGAGGAAGTGTGGAACACGTAGACAGAACACACACATTCGTGTTTGGTGTTCTTTTACAACACATGTCAGAGAGCACGGGGAGAGATAATTAAAATAGTCATGAATGAAATAAGAATGTTAAGAGAAGTATAATTGTATATGTTACTTGCCATTTCATTGTGTAACATTTCATTAAACTAGTTTTCCTTCCAGATCTCTGGAAGGAACCAGAATTGAATAAAAGCTCCTGTTTAGATGCAGTACAGATGAAAAAAAAAAGTGTGTATCCTGGGAGCTGCTATTGTAAAAAAAAAAAAAAACAAATTTCTTTTTTTAAATTTCTAGTTTCTAGCGAAAAATATTTGTAAAAGATTGGCCTCGTGTCAGATTCTAGAGCTAAAAGTTTTCAACAAGGTCGATTTTAGACCTCAGTTTCAAACTAATTAACTCTGGCGGGAAGTATGTAAGGATCTTAAGTTTTACTAACGTTTATTTTATTTTAAATCTTTACTATCACTTCTTATTTTCTACTTCCCGCCAGAATTATAAGCGTTAAGGTTTTTATGCAAAGTTTGTCTGGCGAACGCCAAGTATTTAAGTTGTGGCTTTTTGCCAAGCAAAAGAGAGGAAGCAGTGAGTCGACGCAGGCCGCTTACCTTAGAAGTTACGCAGTTGCTGTTTGCCTTCCAGGCCAGAGGTTTTAATCCTCTTGATAAATTTTAAAACGTATTGTAGTGTTCACAGTCTCTGTACTACATACGCTTCCTGTTAATATAAGGCCAATCTTCCACGTTTATTATTCCAAAGTTAAATTAGAGTTTAGTTTTATTTTTATACTTTTACGTTAGACCCGAAGTAGCGGGTCAGTGTATTCCGAAGTACGGAAGTTATTGTATATAGAGAAAAATAAAGGGTTTTGTATACCCTTCGTTTGTATCCTGTCTACTTACCACAATTAGTGAACATAGCTTTAGTAAGCTCTCTGTTCCGAGTAAGGTCCTTGTATGTTCCCGAAGAAGGTAAAAAGGAACTTTGATCCTGATAAGGTTAGAATAAAAAAATATGTATTTTTAAGATAAAAAAACTTCTCTGCAACAGGAATGGCTCCATCCCAACGTAGAGGGAAACAGCTGTGTATGCACAAAATATCTGCCGCCAAAGCTCTCGAAGGGCAAGTTTATCAGAAGTACATAAAACTAATATTGTTTTAAATTTCTTTAAACTTTAAAGGAAAAGAAAATATTTTTTCGCGTGAGTAAATTAATTCACAGATTTGTCATTTTGAGCAAAAAACGTACGAAAATCCAAGTATAAATTATCACGAAAGTCAAACAACGTGTCTTCTTAACACATGCTCCACTATTTCCTGTACACATCACAGAGGGGGAAATTCTCACCGTCAGGTTCTGTCACCAAATCCCTTGGTGAGTTTTTCTCTTCGCTTTCTAGTGGCACTATAGCAAACTGATTTACATTACGTCTATCAAACCTTTCTTTCTTTACATAGACGTTCTTACATTAGAACAGAGTACATGGGGGCTACTTCTATGGTACCGTATCATTAGGTTTAAACCGATTTTGTTGTATACGATAATGGGAAGGTATTTTCTTTAGTTCAACATGCACTGCACATGTGAGTCTTAGGATTCTCGAGGTTACTGGAAAGCAAACTTGCCAGAAACTTGCTTTGCCGTTCTAAAAGACAATCTGATTGGAGCTGCGAAAATTGGCTCTACGACAGCTGCCCGAATGATACTCATCTGATACATAATTCTTCAACAAAGTGATCGCTTCCAATATTGCCGCAAAACTCGCTTTTTTGGGGGGATCGCCATATGACATTCCCTGACTTTTCCAGATTTTGACTAAAATATTTAAATTCCCTGACCTTTTTCAAGTTTTACAAGTAGCGTGGCAACCCTGTATATAGTTCTGCAGAAATCTTTTGAAAAAATTCTGCACCTTTTCTTTGCAGTTGTTAACATAAAGTCACAATGACCGAGAATCCGTTGCAGTACAATCTCTTTGCCCCCTAGTCTCAGTTTCTCCAAAAGAATTTGGCATTCAAGGATTTTCTCGGAGATCAGGCAGGCCCCTGATCCAAAAGCCTGCAGTGGCACAATGAAGTCCAAGAGGATGACCACTTTGTGACAGCTGAAGTTTGGGGCATTAATCTGTCTTAGGCTTACATAAATGGCCATTATCTCACCATCAAAAGCAGTTCTCCGCGTATCCACAGGTACAAACGTGTAGAACGAAAACCGGGTGGAAAAAATACCCACACTGGCTTCATTGGACTTATAATGTTGAATGAATCATTGACTTATAATTTTAAATTCATGAATAAATAATGAATTTAAAATAAATAACAATAAATGAATTTAAAAATGTTGTTTCTTTGTTTACTACTATTTCTAGGTGTTAACTTCATGTATCAACCAATTTCTTCCATGTAACTTTTTTTTACACACATGAATCAAACTGGATTCTTAAAAGAAAATTATGAAATTTCACATACAAATTTAGATTTAGAAGGCACAGTAATAGCTGAATCCTCTTTTGAATCTAAATCTGCTTTATTTGCTGCCGTCTTAGCTATTTTCTCTACTTTTTCTTTTGCAGCTCTTTCCTTTTCAAGTCTTTTTAAACGCTCTTGCTCCATTTTTTCCAATCCATCACGGATCCAAGCTGGCAACTGCTTTCGCTTAGCCGCATCTATAAAAAAAATTTAGTTAAAAAGTATTAAAAGAACTCTGTATTGCAAATTTACATATTGTTTGAAAAAATCTATAGCTATCTTCTACACAGTTTTTTAACATCCACCCATTTTATATTTGTCATTTACATAATAGACAGCAAAACAGACAACATATAACAATATATATCTTATTTATTCAATCTGTATACCAAATTTGGTCTATATAAAAATTCTGGATATTCTGAGATTCAGATTATTTCATCTATAGAGGTTGATATTCAAAAGTTAGTTTACTAGGCCACTTACAGCAGAGGATATCAAACATACAGACTCATTCAGTGATTATGAATCTCAAAATGAAATTTGTAATCATACTAGGAGCAAAATGTATCAAAAAGTAAAATTAAAGACATAAAATATACTTCTAGATAGTAGTGGAATAATAAAACTGGACAGGAAACAGACTAACTCAAAATTTTGCAGAAGTGCACAAATGTAGCAGCTCTACCAGGTCGAATTAAAATTATGATACACTTCTGTAAGATATTCTTGCTCACATGTGCTCAATTATTGTTGCATTTAGTACATTTAAGTTTTTGACCTATTCAAGGTAGAAATTTGATTTTAAAAAGCTGTACACAAATGCATGATGGGTAGTGACATAATCTTGTAGCTGTGGAACAGATAACAGATGACTTCCCTTTGAAACTAACTGTCCCTAGTTCAGCATTTAAACATATAGGTATTGACTTTTGGAGCTCGATGTAAAATTCAAAAGCCAAAGACTGGGAACTTTGCACAAAGTACATGTTTTCACTTTATTTGATTTACAACTAAAGGCCATATATCTGAAAGTAATTTCAGGCCTAACATCCAAACCTTCCATCGTTTAAGACATTCTTTGCTTGCTTTTGGTAAGAGTATAAAATTAATGTTTCACGATGCAACTAATCATACTGGAGATTATATCAAATTAAATGCTTAAATAATCTTATAAAATTGGAAACATTAATATCAGGCCATTTTTTGGTTGGTAGGCCTATAATAGTGTTACAAGAACCAGAACTCGTTGATAAACATGAGAATCTTTCTAGTTCGCAACGAACTACAAAGATAAGACAAAGGTGAAACTACAAAACAAACAAAAAAGAACTACAAAGACATGATTTGGAAGCACTGATTGCACAATTATCTAAACTATTTAATCCAGACACACAAATGGTGTTTTTCAAAAGATAATATACAATTAGGAATGATGGTTTTAATTACATAAGAAAATTTCTCTCTATAATGACTTCTGGAACAAACTGCATCAGTTGCACCAGGAGCTGATGGCATATAATATGAGTCCTTGCAATAAAAACAAAGATAGGTACACTGCGAAAAAAATAAGTAAATAAAAATATTCTATGCAGCACAAAATAAATAAATAAAAAAAAGATGACAGTTCTATATTTCCCGTTCTACTGGGCTAATTGACAAAATTCAAATTGCGTTCTTCATGTTTCAAAAGTGAGGCTCAGGATATATTATTAGATTTATATATAGCATTGCTCTAACATAAGTATTTTGACATAAATCGGACTTTTTCTGAACACCCCAATTTTTTTTCCATATGTCGATTCTACGAACTCAAATTATGCCTAGATATTAAATTTTGTAATATTTGGTGAGAAATTTACGGAGAAATTCACAAATTTATCTTGGTGCAATTTTTTCAGTTGTGCCAAGAATAATTCACTCGACAAACTTCTTAATATATGGTAACTAATTTTCCTTTCCCTTCCATTATGCCAGAGCGAAAAAAAAAGGCTTTTTGTTCCTACCTTTTTTTAAATGAGCGTGAGCAGAAAAAAGTCACATTGTTCCTACTTTCAAATAATTTTAGCAAAGTGTCTAAACCATATTTGATGTTTTGTCGCTTTCAACAAATGTGCCAATTTTCAAAACGCGCCAATATATAAATTCACGTATATCTTTGGAAATTTTGAATAAAAAACTGCAATTTTTAGCAGGTATGCTTAGAAATACGTCTACTTTAAGATAATGGTAAAAATTTTATAGACTACAATGCAAATTTTTTTTGGAAAAATTTATAAAAATTTACAATTTTTAAAATAAATCATAAAAATTGGGTGAATTTTATTTGGAATGAACCTGAATTTCGAAATGTGAAAGGAAGAGATCAAATAAGTTTAATTAAAAAAAAAAAAAAAAAAAAGACTAATAAATAGACACTAAATTAACACTGATGAGCTAAAATTTTGAGAGCTAATTTTTTAAAAACTACTCATGCAATTTTTACAAAACTTAGTAGTTTGGTGTAATTTCAGTCGTAGAATTGATATATGAAAAAAAATTTGTAGGCTATAAAAAGTCCCAATTTTGTGTAAAAATACCTATATTAGAACAAAGTTATATATAAATCTAATAGATATCCTAAATCACACTTTCGATACAAAATGCAAGTTGAATTTCCTCAATCGGCTCAGTAAAACGAGAGATATGGGTCTTTTCTTTCTTTTTTTTCGCAGTGTACATTTAAGACTTATGTCAAAAACTCATCAGTGGTACGGAGCAGAGCAGTAGATCTTGCAACAGATTCTATATTGATTGCATGTTGTTTTAATTTTATATTTATGTACTTAAAGTATAAAATGAAGGTACCATTATTATAACTAAAGTTGCAGTTCTATGCAAACAGAATTCCTAATCAAGTATTATTTTAATTTCTATTTGTAACATAAAAAAGATTAGGTTTTTCATTCAAAATTTTTGTAATTTGTATATGCAACATATTTATAGAATAATGTAAGTGTTGAGTTCGAAATATATTCTATGCAGCACAAAATATTTAAGCTCCACTATCACATATAAAGCACTTGGCATTAGATGGCAAATCTAGTGCAATCTTGGGACATTACATGTGTCATTAAGTAAACAGCAGTTCAAGAATTGAAATCCTGTTCAAGACATTAATTAATCCGAAATGTCAAAGCTTCACTTATGCTGATTTTATTGTTAACATAATCATCAAACAAAATGCAAAATTTAGACATTATATATAGCATGTCCATTGAAAGTGCTGGAAAGATGAATTTTTGTCACAGCTAACAAATGATTGACCTTGTATTCTTATTCATTCACAGAAAATATCGGAGAGAAATTTAGCACTGAAACTCTTTTAAAATATCATATATTTAAATTTGTTAATGACTTACCAATCTGTGAAGTGTCCTCTTCAGGTTGTAAGCTGTTATCAATACGTTCTTTTTTTAAAAACATAGGTGATATTGCAGGAGCTGCATTCACTTGAGACCAATATTGATCATACTGATTTTCAGGTGGTGCATACACCTAATAACAATAAATTAGTTTTAAAATATATTTAGAGTTACACATGAACATTATAAATTTGCATAATGAAATTCATAACTAGAAATTATATAAACAGAATAAAATAGAAAATTCTATATAAAAGCAATTTTCTTACACATTCAAAATTCCCAACTGTATCCCATTAAAACTCTTTAATTTAGTAACATTACTGATATTCATAGAAATGGTGTAAATTTGCATAGAATTAGTAGTTTCATTGAACAATTACTTATGCTGCTAAATAACATAAGTTTCATCTTGAAAAACTTCATTTAATTATGAATTAAAATAAAAAAGTCTTTTGTTTGTGAAAACTACAGAAGAGAAAGACTGCATGTATAACACATTACTTCCCATTTCATGAACTTAAAAATTATATACAACTTTGCTATGAAGCATAAAATAAAAACTAAATTTGAAAAATACATTAAGATATACAAAAAAAATATAACATTGAACTCTGGATTATAATCAATAAATTCACTAATAAATAAAACATATTATAATTCTCATAACTCCTTGCATTTTATTATCAGAATGTAACATTATATCTACTGACTAACATTATAATAATAAAGGTAATTACTTGGTTATACGAAAAATCAGACATATGATTGTAATCAATAGACTGCATTGCCAAAGGAGGATTATCATGCATATGACCATAATCAAATGTTTCTTTCCCTGCTATTATTGGTGCAGGTATAGCTGCAGGAGGTTCAACAGGAGGCATCCATAACCTTTCATCAATATCACCAGCAGCACTGGCTTCCCACTGTGATTTGCTCCAATAAGTATTATCACCGGGTTTAGGAATGAATGGTCCTGTAACTAATTAATGTTTATATCAAAATATGCAGAGAATATGTTAAACCATCCAATGTATTTTAACATTAAGAATACAATAATTGGTGAATACAATTAATTGAAACTAAAGGATTATTTTAAGTGAGATTTGTAAATTTCAAAATAAAAATACTTCAATAAATGAATAAATAAATATCAATCTACTTTTAAATTTCATTTTATACTTACTTTGGTTGAATATTATGAATAACAATTTATTTTTGGACTTTCAACATACGATGTTTATTCAAATAAATTTCATAATATCATGTACTTTTTTTAGTTTCCTTTATAAATCAATTATCATTAGTTATATAAATTATTAGTTCCCTTCTTTCCTTCATTCCTAAAGATAAATTTTTTACACAGTTATATTCCATTTTTAGTGTGACCTGATTTAAAAAACAAGTTAAAAGTATTTATTGTTGGCACCCGCCATGGATTTCCCTAGTGCATGCACATGATAAGCAAGTTCTCTGCTGCGCAATACTTTCCTTTATAGTTAGCCAACGTCAATGGAGAATATCACATGTAAGCAAGAAGTGCAAAGCGCTGTGTAATCATGTATCTTAATTACTATGTTTCTACTCAGTTCTTCACTTTCCTACTCTGTTGTTCTACGTCTTCATAGCATAAATAAATGTTTGTCATGTATCTGGAAGACACCATTTTATTCTATATTGGTTATATTGTTCTATTATATTAGAACAAAGCTATAAATCTAATAAATATCCTAAGTCATGCTTTCGAGACATGAAAAATGCAATTTGAATTTCGTCAATCGGCCCAGTAGAACAAGAGATATAGAACTGTCCTCCCACATTTTTTTTGGCGAAGTGTGCTGTAATGTATTTTGCAGTATTTAACAAAATAAAAGATGATCTTCTTAATAAAACATAAATTTTATTTTTAGTTTATGGAGATAAATAATTTGAATATAATTCTTCAGTTACAAATTTTCATACATCTACTAGCTAGTAAAACTTCAGAATCTAATTTTAAACAATTTGTTACGTTGCTGAGCAACGGTTACATCATATAAAGATGGCGTTGCCACTCATAAAATAAATATAGTTATTTGTTAAATAATAAACTATTACAACTTCTCCCCCTTCCAAGATAAACTTTAATTTATATTTTTATTAATTAAAGTTTACAATTTTTTTTTTCAAAACAACAGAATATCAACACAATACATAATTTAAATGCTACATATAACATAATAATATACAGTAAGGAAGGGAGGAAAGAAGAAAATATTTTTTTATCTATATAGGGAAATAAATAATTTAATCAGGCCAGAAAGTACGACTTAATGTGTCTAAATTTTTTATGGTTGTTAATATGTCTACATTTTTTACCAGTTCGATGAACGACCGTGTAATTATAGGATTGTAGTACTAGTGCCCATCTCATAAGTCGTGGATTTAGACTCACATTATTTTTGAGCCAAACTAGGGACTTATGTTCGGTCACGATGAGGAATTTAGTATACCTGTCTAAATAACACTGCAGTTTCTTTACAGCAAAAATTATGGCGGCGCATTCCTTTTCTGTGGTAGAGTACTTTGTTTCAGTTTCTGTAAACTTCTTACTGAGATGTAATACTGGATATTCATTGCCTCATTCATCTTTCTGAGTTAAAATGACATCCATATCAGAGTTTGAAGCATCAGTTTGCAAAATAAATGCCTTATTGAAATCAGGTGAGTGTAATAGAGGCTTTTGTGGCAGTTTTACTTCTTCAACAACTTGCTCGTGTCTGTTTAGTTCCTTTAAAAACTTCACCTTGACTTGCATCTCAACTGGAGAACTTGGCCATTCATCTAGAATTTTTAACTGAGAATCGGCTAAATTTGTCAGTTCTTTCTTTCAGATAGTTTTTGCTCGTTGCTAGTTGAACTTTTGTTTTTATCTGTTACTTGCATTCTCATTGAATGTGGCAACTTTGAGTATTCTTTATCATGTTTATGCCTTTTTGCTAAGTTTTCTGATGTGTGCTTAAATTTTGAATGTATTTTTGATTTCTTAGCTTTAGAAGCACTTTCATGAGTTCTTTTATCAGAAGTTCCTTGTCTTCCTCATCAGCTTGCGGTTAAATATCTTCGTCAGTCTCAATAACCGCCAGTTCTTCTAGATTTTCATTTCAGTGTCTCTACTTCGATCTTCATCATGAGATCTTTTTCCTTGAGTTAAAAGATATTGTACCCAGACATGTTCTCCAGTCATTTTTTCATTATCTATGTATTTTCGAGAAATAAATAACATCTACTGTAGCTCCTGTGTCTCAAAGAATAGGCACTTCATACCCATTAATCAAACCGTTAATTGTATATGTTTCTAACAAATCATCATTCGAAAATACGCAATTTACCTTTTCATTTGATTTTAAAGCGAGGGCACTGAGGCTTAAAATGTTCGTATGACCCACACTCGAAACAACGTAGTCGATTCGTTTGCCATATAAATTTTCTTGGTTCTTCTTTTGAAATTGACTTTTTTGTCGGTGATCTTTCTGGTATTTTATATCATCCAATTTATCAAAATGCTTAAAATGAGGCGGATACTCTCTTTTTATCACAAAATTATCATAACTAGGTTTAAATGATCCTTTGTTAATTTTCTCAGTCTGATTGGCAGAAAATTTCGGTTTTATTATTTTTCTCACATCTTCAAAATCTTCAATTTTCTTAACCATCTCAATGGGTGAAATTATAGTAGTCCATTCAACCATAAAATGTTCTTTGAAATCAGAAGCAGTTTTAATTTGATCAACCAGCATGAAATCTTTTAGCTGTTCAAAAGTTTTAATGTTTAATTCGTTAAGCCATCCTTCTAAATAATTCTTTAATTCATAGTAGAAATAACACCAGAAATAAACTTATTTCATCTTCTTTAGGGCTGAAACGTGTCATTCTGATTTTTAAAGGCTGCTCAGGTAACTGCGTAGTTTCTACTGGCTGTACTCTTGCAGCCATTGCTTCCAAATGTAGTTTCCGTAGCTCAAAGGCTCTAATTCGCTCTTCTCTTTCACGTTCTTCTTTTCTTTCTTTTCCGTGTTCTCTTTTGCGTCTCTTTTCTCTTTCTTCTCTCTCACGTTCTTTTTCTCTTTCTTCTCTTTTGCATTCTTCCTTTCTTTCTCTAATTGCAGCCAGTAGTTCTCAAGTAAACTCCTCATCATAATCGTGACTTTCAGTAATTAATTTATGCAACTGAGCAATCTCAAATTTAAGTTTCCACGGTTACACTTAACTCTTCTGCTAGTACTTTTAAATCCTGTTTTTTATTCCTAGCTAAGAATGACATGTTGACCAAGTTACCTTTAATAGGCTTTCTTTTAAAATTGAATCTAAAAGATCGTACTTGTAGTAAAAATGTATAACTTCTAGCGAGATTTAATTTGTCAAAATTCACACTAACCAATTGGAGAGAATTATTTAAACAACTTTGCCAGGTTGGCACAAAATAATATAATACTACGCCGGGTTGACGTTTTAACTCACTATTCACAAGCCTCGTTAGCTATAACTATATAAACATCTTTGACAGTTAGGCAATACAATGGAACTTAACACATGTCAGTTTGACGATTTTACTATCTATCTCCACGCCTGGTTGGCGATAAAAAAAACAATTTTTTGCCAGTTTGGCAATACAATTTTTACAATATAGAATCTGTAATACGTCGGGATGACATTACTATCTACCACGCGTCTGGATGACTAGAACTAAGAAAAAACTTTTGCCAGTTTGGCAGTATAATCAAATCACACTACGTGAGTTCAACGTTACTACTTATTTTCCATGTGCCTGCTTGGCAACAAATTCAAAAACTCAGCTGGCAGTTCTTTTTTTTTTTTTTAGATTTTTCTGTCTTTGCCAAGGTCTCAGCAGAGTATTTAAGAACATGTCTTATTAAGCTTTTGTAAATTAAAATCTTCATTTTTCTGCTGGTGAAGTTAGACTTCAAGTGTTTTTAGACAGAAGAAACATTGGTTAGCATCTGTGACTCTACTACAGATGTCAGGCATTAAATCACTGAGAGTATTAACTTCTGATCCTAAATATTTAAATTTGCTAACAGTTCCAAATTTGTAATTCCCAATTTCAAAATAGGAGCTGCTGTTATTACTACATGACATGTATTTAGTTTTATTTTCGTTGATTGCTAGATGCATTTTGCTGGCTGCAGCCTCTAGAGGTGTAAAAGCCTCTCTAAGTGACTTGGGAGTGCGTGCAACTATGTCAATATCATCAGCAAACACAAAAATCTGAACAGACTTGTTAAAGATAGTTCCACGTGTATTAATGTTGGGGTTTACTTTAAAACTCCATTTATTTATATTGATAGTATAATCTAATATTGAAAGCTTAATCAAGAGAAATTAGAGAAAATGTTCAACCATGACCAAGTAAAGTCTTTAAACACATCATTACATGACATGCAAATAATATGAAATTCATTATCCATTACATATGCAATAACAAAAAAACAAAAATTGTAGTGAATGATATCTAACAGAATTTACAAAAATTTTAATTTTGCAAAAGATAAAATACTATGGGCAGCAAAATTGCTTTGAATGACAATATTTTTATTTGATAATGTTCATGCTGTTTTATTAGAGATGTACACTGCGAAAAAAAAAGGGGGGACTATTCTATATCTCATGTTTTCCTGCGCCGATTGACAAAATTCAAATTGCTTTTTTCATGTCTCAAAAGTGTGACTAAAGATATGTATTAGATTTATATATAGCATTGTTCTATTATAGGTATTTTGACACAAAATCGGACCTTTTTCTGAAATAACAAACCAATTTTTTCCATATTTCGATTCTACGACTCAAATTACGCCAGACTACCAAATTTTGTAGTCTGTGAATGCTGCTACTCTTCATGTTTACATAAAATCCGCAGACGACTACAGGAAAATTACAAAAATACGTCATGATAAATCCATCCCATTTCACACGTTTCTGTTA